AGTGAAGGAACTTTTGCTCACAATATGCTTTTTCAAAATTAGCTTGTCAAAGTACATTGCCAGATAATTCAAATTCTTTCTTCTGAACCTTAGTTCAACCTTGTGTGCACTAAAACAAATCCTCCACAGCCCCATTCAAAAGAGCTGTACTATCTACAGAGTGAAATCCAATCTGATTTCAGAACTTTTAAATGTGTCAACAGATCAGGTTTCATTGAAGGCACCTGTACCTGCCCAGGCAAGGTTCTTGTGCACACATGACATTTTGGCATGACAGATTCCCTGCTTTCAAGAGCACTGTTAGGATACAACAATTAAGATACATACACAACAGTCCCACACACGGCTCACACTTTTCTAAGTACAGAACATTATTGCACTATATGCTTTGTAAATCAAAATAACCCAGCAGCAACAGTGGAGTTTCTAAGTTTTAGTTCAAACTGGAGACCTGGGGAAGACTGGCCATAAAGATACAGCCAGCAACTTGTCATTTGACAAAGGGTTTCATAAGCTTATAGCCATATTTGTCTGGGTAGGTGACTGAACCTGAAATGGGGGAAGGGGTATTTGCAAAAAACAGCCAGAACAAACAGACACAGCTGTATGGGTTGTTCAGGTGAGCTTCTGGACTTAGGTAGTTTTTGAGAGTCATACGAGAGCTAACTTAATCCAATAAAATTCCATTGGTTATCTCCTTAAATGTTTTTAAAGCTTAACAGCAGCTGAAGTTTTAACAGTAATCTGAAAAAGAACCTGCAGGAGGTATAAATTGTAAATACATACCTCACAAATGACTGAAGCTATTGTTAAAAGCCAATGTTTAAATGTTTACTCAAGTCTTGTAAACATAACTTGAGTATCTATGTATCTGCAAATTTGCCCCACCCCCTTTCTTCTTTTAAAGGTTATTCTGAGAATCAGAATTACCAAAATCAGTAGCAATTCTGAGGATTTAAAAGGAATGAGCACTGTCTCCTGAACTGATAATAAATGCTACCTACAAGATTTACCTCTGTGCTGCCAACAGAATAGGAACAGTTCCTATGTAGCCTCCTATGTAGCTAGTTCTTCTTTCTCAATATGCTCATTGCATTTTCAACACTGATTGTGCAATATTCATTTTTGTAACACCAATGTTACTGTATAATGTGGTCTTACAAGATTTTTATATTTCCTCATCTATTTGAATGCCTTATATGCCAGCAGTAAGCTTTTCAGGAAAATAAATGCCTGCCTTTGGTTTTTTCTATTTTATGGTGCCCTGACATTAAGCCAGTACATGGAACCCCAGGGATAGATACAAATGCTAGGAAATAACCACATATATGCTAGGCATATAGAGTTACATTTTCACATGGACTGGGACACATTTAGCTCAAAGTAATGTTTATAAAATCTGGAAGCCTTTTACCACTATAAATCCCCACTATTTAAAGAAAACTGGCTCCTTTAAGGTAACAATTAACATAAAATGCTTTATTTCTATGAATAAACAACATCTATAGTCCATATACATAAAATACTTTTTTTGCCATCAGAACTTACTTCAAGCAGGCACCATGGACATTCTACACCTGACATAGCCAGAAAAAAAATATTTACAAGCCTGAACCTGTCACAGCATATGCCACAGCACGTGCTGCAGTCAAGAGGGCCATGATACACAGAGTGTCACACCAGACAATATCAGACGGCTTCAACCCACACAGAGTAACACCATACCACTGCAGAAGGCTTCAGGTGTCTGCCCATATGGAGTAACAACACTTCAGAAGGCTGCAAGCATCTGCCCTTCTTGTTCTTTAGCCCAACCTTTTATCCCTCATGTTGATGCACTGCCCCTGTGTGCCCTCTGCTCCTTTGGTGTTGGTCAGTGTCCCTGGGCACTCCATGGCTCATTGCTGTCAGTGCTGCTCACAGCTGTGCCCACTGGGGATGGGGATCAGCCACAGCCCCACTCCCCATCCCCACACACTGTGTGCCTACCTAAACTGCACAATGGTGCATTGGTAGAAGCAGGGGAAACACTTGTGATAGGAAGATTGTTTTAAGCTTCAGGAACTCTTTTTGGCAGGTGGTCCCAAGCCATGGAGCAGCCTGGAAAGCACAAGGTCTGTGATGTGCAACTCCACTTGGGGCCACAAGATAGAGCCAGCAGCGCGCTCACAGCCCGGCAGAGCCCTGCAGTCCTTCCTGACCTAACAGGGACCAACACCCTACAGAAATGAAGGGCCGGGATGAGCTGTTGCAAATGAGATAATAAACACAAGATTTACATCTGCAAGTTAAAAAAGACAGTATAAGGCTTATCAAACAGTTTCATTCTGTTTCAGTACGTTTATCACAAGCCTGAAAGTTGGCTTTTGGAGATGTGTGCAGCTTTTCTGCAGAGAAGCATCACTTCATGCTTGCCCTGTTCTGGTATTTCTCCCCAGAGAAGACTGCAGAGCACTGAGGTGAGCATCAGTAACCACTCCTGCCTAAAGCTGAGGTGCAGTGCTCACTCTGCTCATTTTCCCCATCAGTATTCAGAGTGCTGTGCTTCCTGAGTACTTATAAACACTAAATCATGCTATTCTTTTTTTCATTATCACTGTTTCCCTTCAAGAGAAAGGGCTCAGACAGGGCAAGGTGGTTTTTTCTGCTTGGATATTATTTACTGCAATTTGTGTGTGCAGGTGCAATTGTGCAGGTGCAATCCAGTGCCTTTGCCTTCCAGTACCTTTGCAATCTTTTGCCTTCACACACCCCTGGACTGCAGAGCACTGACACCTAACTGCAAGGATTAGCAATGAGAGGAAATAAATCTCCTATTTGCAACTTTTCCCCTATTTGATTAAAAAGTTAGAGATGAAAAGCTGTGTTTGGAGTAACTCCTCTAAATACAGCTTAAATCTGAGAGCTTAAACCGGTATTTTTCAGAATATACTTCAACATAGTCAAGGTGTATGGGAAAAAAACCCCTACATATTCACAAAGATGCCACAGCACCTAATCAATAGTATTACAGTGATGGCATTTTGTCATTATTACACACACTGCTCAAGACAAAATAAACTCACCAGTTACATATTAAATGTCAAAAATAAACTTTAATGTTGTTCATCGTGCCAGTAAAGAATGGGCAAGTGAACAATCCACAAACCTCATGTTTCCTTCTCCTGGTTTTAAACATGTTGCTATGCCGTTGTTTTCCGTAACTGTTTGGGTAAGGGCAAATTTTCAGATGCTATAAGGCATTCAAATAATCACAAGATCAATTCTCATACTATCAATGAATATAAAATAAAATTACTAGTGCTGGTTCTACATCCACTTTGAATTTGAAATACAGAACTTAATGAAAAAGACTGTGCACTGAGGTATGCAGTTTTTGCCATTAATTCTGTTCTAGAGTTTCCAACAAGTTGCTATTTTCCTGAATAATAATCAAAAAAGAGTCTTAAATCCTTACATACAAAATTAGAAAAATATTAGTACTTTGAATCTGGAACTATGTAAGGCACTTAGTTGTAACACCACTATTTGCTATGTAAGAGATTCTTTTCAAGCACAGTTGTTTTCTTCCAGCACTTTGCTCCATCCTTTGCATCATTTTCTTCCCTTGATCTTCTGCTGAGGATCCTTGGGTTTGAGCTGCTCTTTCTATCCATTACTATGACCTGTTCCTTCCTCTTTCTCATGTTGTCTTTGCTTCTTCACTTTGAGCACAAACTTATGTTCTTGTGACCACGTAACTCCCAGTGCTATGATGCATTTCCTTGCACTCATTTCTCCTCTTCCATACAGTGTTCACCTCTGAACTCTCTCATTCTCACTTGCCTGGGAATATGACAGTATGAATTCCACCATCTACCTACATATAGAAATAGGCCAGGAACAAATATATGCTGACAGCAAATTCTCACATATCTGAGAAGATAAACAGCATTCACAATTGGTCCAGAAATTGCTCTCTCTGGGAAGTCACTGTTTGGCCACACACAATTCCTACAGGGGAACAGATGAGACTGCCTCAAAATTTTGATGCAAGTCTTTTTATTCTAACATTCCTCAAACTTTACAAACTGCAACCATCTTCTCATACATTTTTGTGCAACTGCTCAACTTGGCAGAAGCACAGAGGAGTGACAGTCAGCTGGATTTCTTGGCTGCAGGTATAAACACTGACTCCCCTCCCCTGAAGGATTAAACTGCTGCCAGCAACCTGAGGAAATTCACAGCTCTCCAGTGAATGGAAAATACTGCCACTAGTTATTTCTTTCTCCCTACCCTGAAGGAACTGAGCTGCTGCCAATTAACATAGCATTTTCCTACACTTTGCAATCCCTTTGAACTTTTTCATGATTTTACAGGAAACAGTTTTGTCTCTATGTAAATCTATTCAGTGCAAATCCCAGCCACAAAAAAAGGACTGATAACTGTAGCAGAAGCCCCAAGACAAGGGAATCTTGTTAGTCTGCATCCATTACTCAAAAAAATGTAGTATTTATAAACAATTTGTACAAAAGCCAAGAAGAATCTAAGTGCAATGGAAAAGACAACACAGTGACTAACAAATGAAGTGCACATGAGATAAACTACATTGAAAAATTCCACGGATTGGAGATTATACTGCTTTCATGTTACTGCCCACATCACTACAAGCTGTCATTCCTTGAGAAATAGGATTAAAAGCTGACTATTTTGCATACATCATGAACACTCACAGTATCTAATGATGGAGAAACAAAAAAGTTCCAGAGTAAAGGGACAGGAGGCTAGCAACTGGAATATTGGTGTGGGACTGCTGTTAAAAGAAAAGCTTCTCTTCCCCAGTTTGGTTTTCATCTGTCCACACACATAGCAAGACATACGCAGAACTCATCTCTCACACTAGTCAATTAGAAAAATATTAGTACTTTGAACCTGGAACTATGGTTCAAAGTACTAATATAGTACTGCATTGTTTTATTTTTAAAATTCTTATTTAGAGATTTCATAAGTTAAAAACTCACAAAGTCAGCTTCAAGTTTTCCCATTTCTTGTTTGTAGCTCCTCATTCGACTGCTGTACATCCCTCGGCTTTGAGGTGGGATCTCTCGAACTTCAAGTTCCATCTGCTCAAGCTGACAAGTGAAAATAAAGAGGAGATATATAAATCAAAAGGTTAATTAAAGCAAGAACAAATTTACCTGAGTTCAAGAAATATACCTAAGTTCAGGAAATATTCCTTCTTTATAAGGAAAAATGTTGCTTATTCTGCAATATACACACAATTTATCAAAATCTTTCCACAGTCTTAAGTCAAGAAACAAATGACAACCTTAGTATTGTTAACACTCAGAAGGAATGACTTGAGCCAAACATTTCTGGATTTCAATTCCAGCTGTGATGAATACATCTTCTTACCAAAAAAAAAAAAAAAAAAAAAAAAAAACAAAAAAAAACCCAGGATAACTCCTACCAATGAGCATAGTTCAAAAGAAAGCCTACCTTCACCTAGCTGTGCAGTTTTGGAAACCATTGCTTGAAAAAGGTATTTTACATATATATATATGTATATATAAAGTTTTATTTACCACCAGTCTATGTGTTTAATAAAGCAATTCTAATGTTTAATAAATTAATTCTTTTTTCTAAACATTGCTAACTCAGCAGACTTATATAACCTGAATTGTCTACCTAAAGCTATGTCCCAAATTTTGTCTACCTAAATCCATGTCCCAAATTTATATGTAAGAATATTAAATAGCTGAATTTCAGGGTTCAATGACAATGCTATTCAAAAACTTGTATACAGTCAAATGGATTAAAAATTAGAGACATATTCTATCCTTCAAAAGCTTTTTTTATTTATTCTTGCCATGTAGATTTCTAAGGGGCCTGAAATACAAGAATATGGCACAAGGATACAGCAAATCAAAACTTGTAAATGAGGGCTGCTAATTACCTGCCCACTAGGTCCTGAAGCCTGCTCTATTTGGTGCTGTCTGCTCAGGAATTCTGTTTTGAACTGCAGAAGAATCCACACCTGCCTTTTAAAATCCTTCCAATTTACTTAAAAAAGATAAAAGAATACCTCTCCTTGGTTGCTGTAGGCCCCTGAAACAATGTTTACTCACCTCCTACTGATCTTGGTTGAACAATATGGCATAGGAGCAGAAATGCTTCTCAATTAGGGTCCCAGGCTACTGGTTGCAGATCTTCACAAGGGACTGCTAGAATTTATTCCTATGTAATCACTTGCTTACACTTTGAAATTTCATCCTCATATCATAAGAAAAGCATCTGAATTTAATCAATGGAATTGCCAGATACTCAAAAGTCATTTTGCCTGATGTATTCTGATTATACAAAATTATATTCAATAATAAACTATAAAGCAGACTTTAATTAAATAGTCACTAATGAATTGAAACACACAAAGCGATTTCTAATTCTACCCAGTTCTTTAGCTCAGGCTTAACTTTCCAAAGGGGTATTATAAATTAAACCAATAGCTGGAATTAATAGCTTATTTCTTATCAATTTCATCTTAATATATTTGATCTCAAATGTTCTATAAACATTTCCCTCATATATATATATATATATATATGTATGTATGTATATATATATGTATGTATGTATATGTATATTTTAATGAAGTCTCAATCCTTGTCTGTTATATAAAAACAAAAACATATACCAGTAAATCCAGAATTTTCACCAACAATCAGACCATGATCCATGACATTTAAAATGTTCATTCTAAAGAGTCAGTGTTAGAGAGTGTAAGGTCCAAGGAACAACGATGAAGCTTATTTAGGTTGACCAATATTTACCAATGTTTTTCCTCATGGTATTAAATGGGTGCATTTTGTGCCTGGGCTGAGAAATTTCCATGAGAAGCCATGCAGAACATAGTGGTCCAAGCAAGGGTGAACCTAAATGCAACCTAATTTCATGCATCTCCATTTTCAGAAATTGTTTTGTTGGTCATAAAATCATATTTTTCATAAACAAGCAAAAGCAGAGCAGCCCTTTGTATTTCCATTCAAAAATACAACAAAGTAGTGTGGCTGATGTTGTCCACTCCAAAATATATCTCCCCCTTCCGCAGGAACTTCTCCATACGAATCTGCTCTGGACTCTGGAATCAGCTGCTATATTTTAAGAAACTTGTAAGCTTCACTATTTTATTCTGATTCTAAAGCCCTGGAACTAAAATAGAGATCTAAACTAAAAAACACGAGACAAGAATAACCCAGCATTTGCAACACAACAATTTCATGATGTGTCCTTCATCAAATATAAAAGAAAATAACAGAGAAAGAGTTTGTCTTCTTTAAAACTAGAATTTCACTCAAAAATTCACAATTCTTCTGGCACATGCTAGATTTTACACTCAATTTCCCCAAGGTTAACTTAACAATCATCTTTCTTAAAAACCTGTTAAAAATAACAATTAGATACTCTACACTGGATGTAGAACAACAAGATTTCTCTCCAGAGATTTCTTACTACACAGTTCTGGCTTGAAAAGGCAGCCTGGGAGTCTGAAAGTTTTCATGTCAGTTATGCACATACATCAAATCAATTACACCAGTGATTTTACCCAAACAAAGCAGACAGTGTTTTAAAACCATCACTGGTTAGTGAACACAAATAAAATATCTCTATAATAATATTTATAATACATGAGAGTGTTATTTCCTAGCCAAGTAGGAAATAAAAATCAGTTAATCCCAGCTTTGACTACGCAAGACAATGAAGCAAACCAATGTATGAAAACTATCAGCAGCAAGGAATTAGGTTTATTTCGATTTTCTACTGTGGCCTCTAGTTTAAAATAGGATCCTCTTAATCAGTTCTGTTATTAGCAGGTTTGTTCAAATTGATTTCTAAACCCAAGCCTTGACATTAATCACAAACATGTTGGGTAATTGCTTAAAGCCAATAATTGAATCTAAAGATCTAAAACAAAAGTGTGAAAGAAAAGCCAGTACATTAAATGAAGATCATCATTAGCATAAAAATACAAATACTGGATTTATAGTTTAATCTTGTAATAAATACAAATGTAGATGATCTTTTCCTGACATAAGGAGAGAAGTAAGAAGCCGTTAACTCAATTTCTGCTCCTTCCAATCTACTTGGAGTAGAAAACCAAATCTGCATGACCACCCACACTGGAGCTCCTCTGTACTGCTCTGTCTTTTGCCATGTTAACTTGTACAGAAAATGAGCTGAAAAACATTTCTAGATTTCTACTTTTTGCAGCTGTTTGAATATGAATATGAATTTGAATATGCAAAAAAGGCCTTAATGTATCTTCAGAATATCCTCATGAGATGAGACAATAATTTAACCATGTGTCTCACTGGGAATACCAAATCAGAGAGTTTAGGTGCCTTGTCATACTCACAAGGCAAAACTGCAGGAAGCCATCCCAAGATCCATAGATGCTGGATGCTATTTACTGGATGCTATTCCAGTGCTCTGGTCTACAAGACTAATTCTATTTATAAACCAAAAGCACCGTGTATGCCTACAAACAGTTGAGAGACCTTTTTCTTCCTATGCCACTTCAAGAAATTGATTTTATTGTTTAGTTAGTAGCCAAATAACTGATTCAAGTTTTTTGCATTACAAGAAATTCTAGGGTAGAAAAGCTAATTTCTTTCCCTATCCTAACATTCAGATTACATTTCTGACATTAGATACACCAAACCCATTTGCAAGCAATAAACAAAAACAACTTCAGGTAAGGACTATTGGCCATGTGGGAAAAAAGACAATCTCAGCTGTCATCAACACCTCTGCTCAGTTACTCCAATCTACAACACTTTACTCTTACACTCCTCCCAGATGGAAGACACGACAGGCTGTAATGGGAACAAAATAAATAAAAGAGTCACAGTTGCTTATCAAATACTGGGATTTTTTTGTCAGTGTGAACCACAAACTAATGCCTGGGAAACAGCTACATTCTTCTTGGATCAGTGACCCACACTTGTCCTCACCTTAATCTCTCACTTGCTAAAATGGACACAAAGATCTACTGCTCTACAAGACATTCTGATAGATGAAATTAAGTAGGTGCTTGGGTCTTACAAGACAAAAACAAAGTCATGGTGTGTAATATTTAATTCCATTCCTAAAGACCTAATCCACAACTGTAAGTCTGTAACTATTTATGGACTTACAGCAATAGTGCAAACCTTGCATCACTTAACAGAGGATTAAAAAAAGATACACTCTTCTTGTATTTCATATCCTCAAGTAAGAACTATTTCAAGAGTACTATTTCATTTTCTAATATATCATTGTTAAGTATTTTTAGGGCATGGGTGTTAAATGTTGCTATCAATGATTCTATTACTTTTGTTAGGAATTTGCAGTTAACATATGAAAAGCCAGAACATACCAGTTCCCTCGCTTCTTCGAGCTGTTTCTCAACATTTGCAACCATCTGCTTCTTCTCATCTGAAACAGAATTGTGAAAAAGCCAATATAATTGTGTTCTTACCATGAAAGAAAAACATACCATTTCAAAAGATTGTATGTATCAGCTAAAACAGACTCGAGATTTATTCTGTGTGACATCCTCAGGCGTGGTGATACACACATTAGTAATTAAAAAAAAACAAAAACAAAAAGACTGGAGAATCCTTGAAGTTCTGCCCTGTTATGCAGCATTTGCTAGTTACTTACAGCTGCTTCAGCTGTAGGAATTATGCCTCAGCAGGCACTTGCTGGTGTGTACAAATGCATGAGAAGGCACATGCATACACTAAATGGAAAAAAAATCATTTAAGAACAAAGGCATAACAGATTCTCTTGCAAAATATGAGATGCACAAAACCAACCAAGTATCCCAATAAAAATTAATTCAGGGTCTGAAGAAAAATGATGTTTCTATTCCCGTACTCCTATGCTGGGTCTAGAGTTGGTTCTTTTGGTTCAACAGATATAAAATGAATTGCCACAGGAACTACAAGAAAACCACTGTCTTCTAGCAACAGTAAAAATGGAAATTAGCAATAAAATATAGAATTTATTTTAAATTAAAATAAGTTTCAAGCTATACATAGCAATCACCATCTGCCAGGTTCCCCAGCAAGGCTACATCCCAGCTACAGAGACTTTTGACCTGCCTCCAACCATCCATTTGCAGGCAGAGAATCCAGTCTGAACTGAGAACTGAAATTCAGTGTCACATCATCACAAACATCCCAAGTGCTTCACAACTTGGTTTGTTACAGCATGAAACAAACTGAGAAATATTCAGACGTTGGATAATAAAATGTCCCCACACTGCTTCATTACTGTGGGTATTCAAGGGTTTCCATCCTACCATCACATCTTCCAGCCCTCAGACTCTAAATCCACCCATTGTGTCAATGAAGTCAACAACAAAACTGAACATACAAATGGTTTGTTTGAAACCAGGAGTCTCATGAGACATCTCTACTGGTGGTTTGCCCGATGAAGCAGATAAAAAGTGAATGTCACCAAAGTGTCTCCAGTCACAGCTCCCCAGAGGTCACGAGGGATAAGTCTATGTCAGCACAAGACTTAATCATGTGTCTCTAAACTTCAGAGCTTTGTTTTTAATCTGAATCCCCTTGCCCCTCTTCCACATGATCTCTTTGTATGCTGGAACTGACACATTAAAACCAAAAGAGACAATCTGATGATCTCCTTCCATCTTCTGCATTCCACAAAGCACTGAATTTCATGAGAACCACTTTAACAAAGGAACATAAATCAGCTTCTCACAGGCTGAAATGCCTATCCATCTATCTTCTCGTTCACCTAAAATACTCTACACTGTCATTCAGGGACACAGGAACATCACAATCTGTCCTTCCTCAGTTACATATACTGGAGCTCTGCCTGCACAGAGGATCAGGCTTGGGACCATCTTCCCTGCAAATCTGAATTCACCCTGCCACATCTGGTGGATTCTACCACAGCAGAAGATGCAGGAAAAAATTTCTGTGTAGAACTTTTAGTTTTCTGCAGGCAATGTCTTCCTTTAATTCCCCAACAGGTACTCATGATAGCACCCAGGCCAGAAAATTCAGCACTTTATCTTCCTAACACAAAAAAACTAAAAGAAATCTGCGTCTTCCCTGCCCCCCCAATACATTTCTATTCTCATATCCCAAAACACCTCTGTTCTTCCCTTCATTTGGAAGTCAGCAAGATGATGATGGACAAAAACAAAAACAATGGAAGGTATGAAATACACAACAGTATTTTATTGAAGCTGAAATAAAATTTTAAAACATAGCAGCAGAAAATAAATGTACTATAGCATTTTTGGTACTTCCCTGAGTTGTACTGGATCACAATTTTCATAGACATTTAGTAACCTGAAATTTAAGGATAGAAAGTTGGGGGTTTTTGGAATGTATTTTATACTGAGCAAATTCTGCTTGTACTTGTGATTACAAGAACTACCCAGCACTCCACTGGCCAGTAAAATCTTACTGACCCACAGAGAAATTTAGCTACACACCTTTTGTAGGGAAAACTCATTAGCACAGAAAAGGGTCTAGCTAAAACTGCTCCCATAAAATTAGGAGGAGAGGGTATTCAAATGATCTCCAATGGTTTAGTTAATTAAATTTTAATCCAACTCCAGATTTTAATACTGGCCCAGGTACATAATCACCCAGATGCTGCCTTTGTTTTTGCTTCAAATACAGATATGTGATTTATACAGATATATACAGGCACATTGCAACATCCCAGCACTGCAGCTCTGGAGCAGGATTTCAGACTTCCAGGAGAGCAGCTAAACTTGTTGCAACTGCTGATCCTCCAGGGCACATAATACCATATAACCATGGTTTCCAAAGCATTTCTTTTCAGTTTTACTTTTACTTCAGTGGTTAAGCAAGGGAAACAATTTATTTCACAGCCAGAATCCCCATAGGAAGGGGGGCACAATACTCATAGGATGATTTGGTCCGAGACTGAAAGTGAGATCCCAAGGGAGTTCCTCTGGGTAAGAGAAGTTTTCCACTAATCAAGCAGATCAGGACAAACAAGTTACAATTTAATTAAAGTCTAATTAACGATGCTCATATTACTAACTGTATTAATCCACTGTGACTTAGGAGTTTTCAACCTGCCTACTCCATCACTTCCCTAACACACTTCCACAGGAAATTAAGTAAAAAGTGCTTTATAACTTTTTGTTTTGATTGAGAATTCAAATACCCTTTAGAGAAAATAAAAACCAATGCTCCATCAAATATATCTAAATGTAATTTTTTTTCCTTACATTACTAGACAGAATGTCCCAAACAAAATATTCCACATAGTTTGTACATTTTAAGTGGTGAAATTGACAAACTGTGGATAAAGACTGGAAACAAAAAGGTGTTTCCTCTATGGAGGATAGCAAAGAAATCTGTTCTCTGTTTGTACACAAGGTTGTGTAACTTTCTTAAAAGAAACAAGCTTTCACTACATTTTCCCCAGTTCCTTCAGCTTTGCCCTGGCATTAGACACTTTCTTTGTCTCCCAAAATACAGCAGCTACAGAAAGGTGGGAATCTGTCTACAAGACTGGAAAGGTAACACAGCACTGGTTTGATCTCAGAGTCAACAAAGAGATTAAAAAAACCTGGATCAAGACTGAGTAGTCCCACTGCTTGTGGAATTGCATCTTTTCATTAGCACATGCTGATGAAGAGACTGAGTAACAAAGAGCTTCAGCTCACAGGCCACTTGCTGATGTTGCTGTGCTAGCTTAGGTGGTTACAGGTTCACCACTGCCAGAAGTTACTGTCCAACAGCAGAGGCAAATGGAGCAGTACATGCATTTCTCTCTTTGGGTCATAAAACTGGGTTCAAGAGGCATAGCATAATGAGTCAGACCTGAAACTGAGACAGTAAACTTCAGTGCAGGAGTACAACAGAAAATTAAAGGTGGGGCTTTCTTCAGCTAAACCTGTTAGCAACTGAAATGCAGCACTTTGATTGCCCAGCAGAAAATGCAGGTACCAAGTATCAGAAGAATGGCAGCACTCCAGCCCAAAGCCATCACAAACCAGAGGCTACTGTGCTGGGAATAGAGTAAGTATCACCATTTGTGCTGATAAAACTCTCTTTCATATCAAGCAATCAAAATCTGTATGAAGTTTTGGTCAAATCATAACACAGATGTTTCTCTGAAACACCAAGGAGCATTAATAAAACACATCAGTCAATGATCTTCATTCTTCAAAGACCTGCAGCAGCAACACAGAAAATCTATTTAAAAGGCATTTCTCTATTTATAACTTTCTTTAATCCCCCAGGTGATGTCTGCCTCAACAACAGAAGACATTTCTTCCCAAGATGTTGTATTGTCCCTGCTGCTTATTGTTTCTGTGATATCAGAGAGCCTTTGTTACATTTCTTGCTGAACTACTTATGCATTTGTGACAACAGGATTGTCAGCTGAGCCATCATCCTCCTAGAACACAGGACAGCATCATGTCCTGACAACAGGGAATGCAGGAATGTTGCAAAACCAATTATGCAGCATTTCTCCATTGGAGCAGGTCCATCTTGGGCAGCAGAGGGAAATAACCAGGCACTAGACTTCAGGAGATCTCTCTTTATTATGCAGAGTGGCACAAGTCCTTACACCTTTCATCCTGCTTCTTCCAGCTGGGAGGAAGAAGGCCATCAGCAATCTCTCAAATCACTGCTGCTGCAAACTGCCACCTCAGCTCCCCTCCCACCTCACAATCCTCTCTTTGAGGCTGTCCCAGTCATCGCCACAAGAACTAACTGGAACTTCTGGTGATGAAGCAAAGATCTTGCAAATGTTCCTATTAAGAAACAAGGGAAAAATGTGTATTTAAAATATTTCTGATAAAGGGTTCAGCATAATCAGAGATTTCTTTTTCCAAGTGGTCAAATGCCTCTGTTAGTTAAGACTGCAGTTTGTTTTGAAGTCATGGAAATATTTTTTTTCTTGATGAAAGACAGAATAGCCCTGAAAACAGAAGCAATAGCTAAGCCATAAATGTACAGTGCAAGAAGCAGCTATAATGCAAGTCAGTTCAAACCCCATATAACCAACCACAAATATAACATGGGGGGAAAAAAAATTAACTTTTGTCTTGTCTTGACTCCATTTAGCCCAGTACCACATTTCTGGTCCTGTAGGGAACATTCATTCTGTCTCCTCCAAGAGGATGGCAAATTCTATTAAAAAAGTTACCTTCTAATGGTCTCATAAAAGAGTGATGATTTCAAAGCCTGCTGCTTCTAGGTTATGTCACTGTTGAAGCCAAAACTCTTTAAACATCTTTTATTTAAGCTCCAAAATCTCCCTAAGTGAATAAGGGAGAGTGATTCAAGGAGAGGATTATGGAAATCCGCTACTGTTATGCAGAATATTGAACAGACTCTGATGACTTCCAAAATCTATACAATAAGGAACTCAAATCTCTATTCTTTACAATTAGGGAATTAAATCTTTCTTTTCCTATAAATCGGTCTGGCACTATTGATTTTCAGAGGATGAGCCAGTAGTGTATTTATGATGTCTCCCTTTTCCTATCAGAGGTCCTTAAATTTACAGTTCAAAAGTTAAGAAGCCTTTGTGAAGGATTCCCTGTATCATCTCAGTAAATGGTTGGAGTGGCCATTTACAGGTTAAATATAATTCTGAGGAGATTAAATTACACACCAGTTCTAAAACTCAATCACAGGAACTCTGATTCTCTTTCATCTTCATTTTGTAAGTTTCCATTCGAAAACAGACCAATTTTTCCACCTCAGCTGCAGGTTCTGACTGAATTATCTCTCTTGCTGTTAAGATCAAGAGCAAAACATCTTTGTTAAGCCAAGGCTTAACATGGAACTCAACCCTGTTTTTTCAGAAGACTTTCCAACTTGCTAAGATTAGAATTGGATGTAATCTTCCAAAATCAAAAAGATATTTTATTCAAAATCCCCTGAGATCATACATTTTAGTTGACCACCTACCTCAAATCCTGTTTAGAGTCACTACTCATCACTTCATGATGCATTTCCCACTTTAAAAGTAGGATGTTATTCTTTGGTCCTGGATGCATGATACCTTTTCCTTTAGTCATATGGAAAAGTACACCATTAGTATGTGTTGACTTCCTTCTTACACAGTATCCACTCCCATGGTTAAGGCTCCCAAACTTTTGGGTAATATGCAAAAGAAGCAGTGGCAGAAGTATTAAATGAGCTGGAAGAGGCATTAAGCTGAGCTACAAGAGGAACAGATGGGAAAACCACGAGTATCAGCTTCCCTCCATTTCACACTCAGAGCCCTGTACTGGGGTACTGATTCCTGTGTACAGGAAGATTCAGCTGGGCTGATTAACGAGATTAAAATTTTCATCTTTCTACTCTTACAGACAGTATTGCCTCTACTGCAGGGATACATCATGAAATAGACCATGAACGCTGCAGGCAACTGACAAACACATTAAAGTAAATGAACACGGAATTCTTTGAATCTGCTCCTGCCTGTGAGTCACCACAGTCAATTATCCAAATCAAACGTACGAGGAGTAGGCAGCAAAAATACTGATTCAGATTAAGTCATGCACAAAATCTGTCTGTGCCACGGGAAAAACACTTGATTTCCATTAGTGATGTCGTGGCATGATCACAATAAAGAGGATTCAGCAGCAATGCTGGCACAGGGAGCATCCCCCAGCAGCTTTAGCTTTACTCAGCCCTTCAGGTGCACTGGCGGAACTCCAGAGCGGGGCAGAAGGGAAGGGTTGATCCTTACAGGTGACCAGCGAACAAATATTCTGTCAGAGTATCCTCAACACATCTCGCTGCTGGGACAGACGCGGGGCAGGGCGGTGACAGCGCTGCGTAAGGAGCGAGGAGTGACACCGGTGAGAGCTCACTGAACCACGCCGGCACCTCCCGCCACCGCCCTGCGCGCCCACCGCCGGCTCCCGCACACGGGCCTGCGGAGCGACGGCCGCGGGGGCGGAGAGCATCTGCTCACCTCCTACCAGCTTCGGCACCTTCCCGATGCGGCCCGTGATCTCTGCCGTGAGCACGGCGAAGTCCTGCTCGTAGCTCTCGAAGTCGGAGGACATCGCGGCGATAGCGCTGCCGGTGCCGGGGGCGCCGCTCCGCACCGCGCCGCTTCCGCGTTCTGTCACACCAAAACGCGTCCCCCACCCCGACCCCAAGCTCCTCGCCACACGTTCCGGAAAAACTCGGGTGATTTAACCGGCACGATCCAGCCCCTCTCGGCCGTCCCGACAACCCCTGAGCGGCCTTGACACGAGGGATGGCGCCGCACCGCAGGCACTGAGGAGAGGCGGCAGCGGCGGGTCACTCCCGCCCCGCAGCCCCTCATGCCCCGCCTCGTAACCTGCAGGCGGCAGGAACGCGGTTGCGGCGCTACCGGCGGGCCGCTGTTTCCCGGAGGGGCCCTATTGCGAGCGGACCGCGGCGGGCGGTGGCGGCAGCGCGGGCGCCGCTCCCGCCCCGCTCCGCCCCTTCCCCGCCCTTCCCTTCCCACTCCCTTCGCTGCCCTCCCCTTCCCACTCCCTTCCCTCTTCCCTTCCCGCCCTCTCCCTCGGCGGCCGGCGGGGGCCATGCACGGCGGCGGCGGGGCGGCGGCGGCCGGGCGGCGGTAGCGGCGATGGTGGGGCCGGGCGCGCTGCAGCGGGCCCGCCGCCTGTGCCACTGGGGCCCGGCGGTGGCGCTGGCCGTGGTGGCCGTGTGCTCCGCCACCGCCATGGCCGACGCCGCGCTCTGGTACTGGCCCCTGGACACGGCCGGGGGAAGCGTCAACTTCGTGATGCTGCTCAACTGGACCGTCATGATCCTCTACAACTACTTCAGCGCCATGTTCGTGGGCCCCGGGTACGTCCCGCTGGGGTGGACGCCGGTAAGCGCTGCCTTGCGACCGCCTCGGCCCGGGGCCTGGCGGGGTCCGGCGGGCTGCCCTGGGGCCGGGCCGGCCGCCCCGCGGTCAGGACAGTACAAATCGCGTGTCCTTCGATGCCTCTGCTTCTCCTCTGTCTCCCCAAGAACGCTGCTCGCTCTCAGGCCACTCCTTCCTCCTTATCTTGTTCCGAAATCTTTCCTTTGCCTCTCCCCGGTTTGCTCTTGCCGCTTCCAGAGTTTCCAGTACAACCCAGTTTACTCCTGATACCGAAATCGGACAGACAGAAACTTTCTAACACAGTTTTGCTATTAGAAAGCAGCACGCTGGACCCTTCAAATATCCTTCGTCTAATGAATGGAGTGTGCCGAGCGTTGGGTAAACAGAGTTTTTATCAGCCACACTGATCACACATTCACTAGCTATCCCCGCTTGTTTAATGTATATGTGACGTATATGTAGTGCTTCTCTTTCCTTGTTGGAAGGCCTTATGTGGCCTTTTGGGGTCTGTTTTGGTGGTCTTCCGTGGCCAGTGTTGTAATACTTGGTGGCCGTTCCTTGACCCCAGCTCCAGTAAGCACAGCACTGTTGATTTCCGTGCCTGCTGCTTTGTCAGCCTTGCAGAGCTGAGCGGGCTTCCTGCTTGCCTGAGTTACGTCCTTTATCTGCTTCTCCGGGGCTCCCTTCTGTTCTGCTGCCCTTCTCCATCCCCTCCCTATGCTGTCACAGCTCTGCTGCTTGGCTGGCAGCAGTTGCTGTGCTTTATTATATTAGGGGCTTCTCAAAGCAAAGCAGCAGAAAACAAGCACAGAAAGCTGGGAATGAGAACCTCAAGGTTATCTGCATGCTCCTGCAGACACCTGGTTTGGAGATTTTGCTGCTAGCAGTTACAGTTAGAAGTAATTAATTTAGAAAATTTCTTTTTTATTTTATGCAAGACAGAAAATTATATGGTTACCATCTGCTTAACACAGTGCAAGATAGAAATTTGCATTTCCTGTGCTTCAGTAATCTCTTGGAAGAGTTGTAGCCAAGAATGACACAAGTTCAGTATCTCAAGGCAGCTGCCCAGAGTTTGTGTTCCAGTGGGGTGATGCAGAGTTTAGTGCTGGTCACCTTTCTAATTGTGGAATATTACTCAGGACAGAGTCTGGGCAGAAGAGGATCCTGATAATCATCTTAGCAGGACAAATGGGTGCAAGATTTTGACCACTACTTGCTGCCTGCAAGTGTGTCTGTCTCTCATCTTGCTGTGGTTGAGGTGTGTGTAAAAGAGATAGTGAGTTGAACATTAGTGTTTACCAGTGCTGTATCTTAGTAGTAAGCTTAGAGTGGTTTATTGTGTAAAATGGAGAGAAAATGTGCTCAGGATTTTTTTTTATTAGAACAATAACGTGCTGACTTTTACTCTCAGAACTTCACTGTGAAATCCTGCTTGTACAGTTGCTCTTCCTGACGGAAGAACTGTTTATTTCTTTTAGCAGCCAGCACTTTCAACAGTGGAAGATGGCTGTGTTGATAGCCAAGAGATTAGCTGGGAGATCATCTAATTTTGTTTTTTCCTCTCCTTGATGCCTACCATTAAGTAGGGTTGGGCTGTGAAACACACCCTGTCAGAAGAAATCAAAAGTTAGGCAAATGCCAAGATAAACATTGCCAGCAGAGTTGTGTATACATCTAACACTCCTATTCTTCTGTTTAAAGGAAAAATCTCAGGATTGCATGTATCTCCAATACTGTAAAGTGTGTCAGTCTTACAAGGCACCTCGTTCACACCACTGTCGGAAGTGTAACAGGTACTGTTCCTCTTCACAGCTGTTGAAAGCCCATTTTAGAGCAGCTTCAAACCTAATGAGGGGCTGTTACCATAATTTGTGCTTCCAGCACTTGCATTGTAGTTTTTTAAAAAGCTTCCATATGGGCACTATAGCCCTTTCAAGTGTTTCCACTTTCTAGTTGTATGATATCTATACAGTTTTGCTGTGTTTTAGTTTAGAAAAATGACTGTCTTTAACATTTTCTTTATAGTTTGAAATCAATTTCTCTTAAGAGCTTCTTGATGGTACTAACAAAACAATGCAGTCCTACTTCAGGGGTGTGAGTCTGTGTAAATACCTAAAAATCATCTGAAATTCTTTTAAAATTCTGAGTCCAAACATTGACCTGCTTAAAGAGTAGAAATACCTATTCTGTCATCTTTCCCGATGGGAATTAAATGTTGATTTGACTGGAAATTTTGGACTGCTTTTTTTTCCACTCTTCACCAAAGCAGGTTTTTGAGGGGAAGTAATAAAGCCTTTTGGGTCAACTTAAGAAGTTTGCACCTTGTTGTCTTCCAACACAATGGTCCTGATACAAATGATACTTTATTATAAATAGCTGTCACTAGAATTTAGTGCATCTTGAAAAAAATCAAGGCATTTCAGCTGTCTGCAGTCCAGGCAGGTTGTCCTCTGAAGGACTTCTAAGGGAGTGTGGTGACAGGATATTGCAACATATGTGTTCATTTGTTATTTCTATAAACCCAAGATGTGCAGTCAATGCTTTTTTAGGAAACAGAAACTGAAACTCCAGAGCAGTGCTGTAATTTGGCTACATCATCCCCAGATTTAAAACTAACCACTCTTTTCCTTGAGTGACAATCTTTACACTGAGGATTGATCACTTAGGTGGTCACATAGACTTTCACACCTGTCAAGGTAATTTGGAATGTGAACAAATCTTTATTCACTTGGGGGTTTTTTGCATCTGTGAGCTACACCAAAACAACTGGCTTTATATTGAATACAAGAGGGTCTCCAGGGTGTTTATACATGTTATATGTATTTTGAAAAGGATTTTCAATGGTGTGAGGTCAATACATAGCAACTGAGAAAGCTTTCAGAGGGTTTACCACTGACAAGAGTCACTGTCACACTTCTGTCTGTACATCTTTCTTTAAATACTCTGCAGTTTTTACAAGGGAATTTGATATTTCCTTTATTGTCCTGGTGTTCTGATTTTTAAAAACTGGCATTAAGAGTAGTGCTTAATTATTGTGATCATAGTTCTTACACATCCCATTCTATGGCTCTGTCTCCAGGCTCTTTTCTATGGTGTTTATTAGAAACTAGTTAGTTTGAGTAAAGAAGAGGACAGATAACTGGGGAGGGTAGGACCTGGAAGCACTTTTTATTTGCTTTTTTTAATTCTACAAAATGGAAATATAATTCTGAATAGCAACTGAAAAGAAATTACTGTATTGATCTGTCAGAAATTGGTGGGTTCAAATAAAAGAATGGAGGTTGAGAAGTAGAAAATCAGCCATCCTTTGAGTTTTTTGAGAAATATCATACGTGTCCTTTATATTAATCAATATTTATTATTCACAGATGTGTGATGAAGATGGATCACCACTGTCCTTGGATCAACAACTGTTGTGGATACCAGAATCATGCATCTTTCACTCTGTTTCTCCTCTTAGCTCCACTGGGATGCATTCATGCTTCTTTCATATTTATTATGACAATGTACACTCAGCTTTACAACAGAGTAAGAAAACATACCTAAATGCTTAAAATATTATTTAAGTCAGGTGCATAATTTATCTCTGGAAGTAGGAGAGAATTTGGTTTTCTGAGAAGAAGCATGTGGAATTCCTTGTTCTTCTTCCACATGCACTCCTAGTTCTGCTATGTACCTGTAAGATGTATGGGAATGGAGGAGGATTCAGAAAAAGTTGTTTCTATTTTCATTCTTTTTTTTTCTTTTTTTCCTTGTGGCTTCTCATAATCACAGGGAGTTTCCTATTGCTCTACATTGACTGAAGACAGTTTCTGAGTAGCACTTTATGTAGAGAGAGAGACAGGCTGTGTTTTGGCTGGCACAGAAAACGGCTGCTATTTATTTCCAACACACACGTTAGATCCTTTTTATATTCTTTTACTGGCCACTTTTTTTGAATTGTGTCTATTTTTTCAAGAAAAAGTACATAATTTTTGGGACTAAAGATAAATATGTTAGCTGTTGTTTTTTTTAACTGGAAAACTTCAACAGTGAGTAAAGCTTATTCTGGAATACACCCCTTATCTCAGATCCATGGTTAAGATTATAAGCTTTGATTCAGCCTTTGTGGTTGAGTGAAGAGTTTGATAACATCACCTGAGTGTAACAGATGAAGTTGTATTTATAGCAGCTGAGTTGTGTTTGCAGAGGGATAATGTTGAGAATTGCTGTCTGCAAAGCTTTCAGAGGAAGCATGCAGGCTTTCCACAGAAAACAGGGACTGTTCTATGCAAACATTGTCC